GGCAGTGGAGTGGGAACAGAAGGAAAGAGTTCAGTTTTCCCCAAACAAATCCTCAACGCCTGACCTGCTTGGACCCCTGACCTCCCAGCTGGCCGGGGGCTGCTGCTTCTTTCTGGGACCTTTGTGTCTCCCAAGAGCACCAGGAGCGAGGTCAGCTTCTCTGGGAGCGGCGCCTCTCCTGCTGGGCTCTTGCAGAGTTCAGTGGTCTTAGAACATCTTTGCTCAGGTGTCCAATTCTTGTGTCTCATTTGAGATTGGTCATTCCCAGGGAACCACTGAAACCCAGAAGAACTTAGCAGAGTTATTGTCTGGTAGTAGAATATTTCATCCTTTCAAGAGCTCTGAAGAGTAGGTCTGGATTTTTTTATTTTATACAAACAAACGAAAAATGTGTTTTCTTCAATCATTCTTCCATAAATCAGAGCCAGGATCAAGCATTTTGATCAGTGCAGTTATTTCATCATTTGGAAAAATAAGAATTTTTGTTCCTGGCATCTTGCAAAAATACTTCTGTGGGTATCTTAAGGAACATTGCTGGAAGAGTGGGTGGATTCCGGAAAAGGCAGAGAGGCTGGCAGAAGCTACTGCAAGGAACCTAGAGTGAGGCGGACGGCCCCATGCCATGCCTCTCACCTTGAATTTCAGATGATAAACATATTTGCGGTACAGATAGTCTATTCCTTAGCTTTCAGAGGGTCTTATTGTTGCTATTTCTCAGGAAGGGCAAAGGCAGATGGCAAAGCACTGCTGAACTGAGGTTTCCTTTCCCAAGCTGCACAAGGATTCAGGAGGGAGAAGGAAACCTTCAGAACTCCACAGGGGAGCTGAGCTTGGCCTGCGCCTCAAGCCAGTGGTGGGAGACACGCCCTCACTGAGGTCCACAGGAACTGACTGGGGAGACCTAGGGTGGCTTCAGCCCTGGGACAGCACTTACCATGATGCCACCCTCATGTGTGCATTAGACAAATAAGAACTTAGGGAAATTCCAAAATATGATGAGCCTTCAAAAGTGTCAGGGTCATGAATGATCCCAAGTGTATAAGCAGGAAGGACTGAGGAGCCACTCCAGACAGAGGAACAGATGTAGCAGAGGACCCTGTACCCTGGTAGTCTGAAAGGGGACTTGGGGACAAAAAGAGGCTCACTGTCCTGGGAGTCCAGTACACATCCTCTGAGGCTCTGCCGAAGGACAAACAGGAGGGATGCTTCTATGCTCATCCCCCGGATTGAACAGCTGCACCGCACTGTGGGAACAATGTATCTGTTTGCAGGAATTGTTCAATGACATATTTAGGGATGACAAGGGACCTCATTGTCAGCTTCCTCCCCAATGTTTCAGGTCTCAGGAGTTCAAGACCTGCCTGAGCAAGAGTGGGATCCCTGTCTCTCTATACATACAATTAAAAAAAAGAAAGAAGACACGTGGGCCCACATCAATGATGAACACAGAGGAAGAGGCCAAGACTTAGGCTTGTAGGAGGGCTGTGTTCCAGCCAGCAGGGGTGGGGGGAAGAGCACAGGGCTAAGGGACAGGGGGGACGTGAGGCCCTGCTCCCAGCTCCCAGCTCCCTGCTCTCTGCTCCCAGCTCCCTGCTTCCTGCTTTCAGCTCCCTGGCCTCTGCTCATGCTGGCCAGGAAGGTGAGTGGGTGACAGGAAGAAAACCCACAGGACACCGGTGAGACCTGTGGGAGGAGACATCTCAGTCCTCTAGCCAGCTTCTTTGGTGCTGCCCACTTGCCTTGTTATCTGGGACCTGAGGGAGCTGGTGAGGTGTGACGGAGGTGAGTAGGCAGAGACAGACTGGCTGCCCTCTGAGCTCGGAGATGAATGTGGCCAGATCTGTACAGCAGAAAGTGCACACAGTAGGTGCACATAGTAGGGGTCACAGTCAGACCCCTGGGGCATTAACAAGAGGAACTCTTTTTGAGCCCCAGCCCTTACTCCCACCCTGCCGAGTGCTGGATGTCCATGTGTATATGCGGCACATAGTGCTCTACAGCAGCTCTACCAGAGAGGCGTGGTGGATGTGTCTGCCACACTCTGCACTTTCACACACTTGCACACACATGTGCACATGTACACACAATACATATTCACAACACACACATACATACACATGCACTCACATGCACTTGCCCAAGGGTTAAGCTTTGGTTATCTCTCTGCCTCATCCTCTGTGCCAAGTCAGTGGTCATGAGATTTCACTGCGTCATTCTTCAGGACACCTCTCAAAGATCACTGGCATGGAAATGCACAGAGTAGGACTTTGGTTATTTACAGCTGTATCCCTAGGGTCTGATACAAAGTCATTGCTCAAAAATACCTTGAGTGAATAAGTGCATGAACAAGAATGAATGAATGAAGTCCCTTTTCCCCAACCTGCATTCCCAGGCTGCCTGACAGCCCATTCTTCCCTGACCCCATCTGGACTCATGTACTATACTAAACCTTCTATGCTGCCCCCTCTGGCCTCTCTGCATAGACAACCAGTTTGGTCATGACTGCAGCTGGCCATGGGTCTGCAGCGGCTTCCAGTGGCCTGGCAGCAAGGAGCAAGCTCTAGAGACAGCCCATGTTTGCAGGATCACTTCTACATTGGTTTCCCCAGGTTGTGTTTCTGCCAAAGGTATAAAAATGCCCTTTCTACAAATCCTGCTGGTCTCCCAAATTCTTCAAAGCATCTCAAATGCATTTACACTATTTAGGGGATGATCTAAACCAGAAAGTGGAAAATAAAATTTCATAAATATTGTTCAGATCATTTCACAATAATCTCACCATGTATTGAGCATTTACTGTGTCAGATTCTGTTTCAATTTGCAGTAGAGTGTGGCTGTGGCAATTAGAGACCAAAAATATGGCGGTTTAAACACATGAGAGTTTATCTTCTTCTATAAAAGAAGTTGGGATGGTAGTATAGGGCTGGCATTGTTACTCCAAAAACTGACAAAGGCACAAAGACACCAGGCTCCTTCCACTTTCAGTTTCCCCTCCTCAGAGTTGGCTTCCATCCTCCACATTACCTCAGGTTCCAATTGAGCTGCTGGAGCTCCAGCCATCATGGTGTCATTCCCAACTGCAGGTAAGGCAAAAGTGACTCCTCTCACCTGAGTTAGCTCTGTACAGGGTAAATTCCTATAGGTCTCAATCAATAATTTTACCTTTCTCTTGGTCATTGGGCACTTGCAACTGCAAGGGAGGCTGGGAAATGCAGTCTTTATTGTGAGCAGTCCCATACCCCTGCCCCCCAAAAATGCAGTTCTATAACTGAAGAGGAAGAGACGGTGCAGTCATTTCCATTGGCTCTTAAGTATCAAAGCAACCCACCAAGAAGAGCATTGATATCCCACTTACAGCTGACTGAGTGTGCCTAGGGGTGTGGCCATGAAGGCTTTACCCTGGGCCTGGCTGATGCTCAGGGCTTCATTTTCTTCAGTTTTATTTTCCTGCCCCTGGGCAAATCTAGGCAGTCCTGGAAGCCTAGACAGGCCCCTCCATAGTGCTTTTTGCTACAATGATGCCAGCACCCTCTGCCAACCTCCACTGGGCTCCAAATAGTGACCCTCAACCCAATACAATTTGTTCCTGGGATACTTCCCCCCTTTCCTGTCCTCTCTGTTCTTTGTGAATACTTGGCTGGGAAGAAAAGCAGAAGGTCTCTCCTAAAATGATTTCAAAGGGGATGGAGGTTTGAGGGTACAACTGCCAGGTCCCTTGCCATTCCTGTAGGAAGGGGCTGTCACCGAAAGAAAGGAGTTCTAGTGAGGCGGCAGTGACCTGTGGCCTAAGCAAGCCCTTTTGGTTACAACTCTGCTGTCCTTTGTGTTTAATTAATACAAAGAACTGTGCCCCTGTGAAGGTGGGAGTGGAGTATCTGTGTGTCTGTGTATGTGGTGTTGGTGTGTGAGATGAGTATGTGTTTTATATGAGTATGGGTGTGTGGGTACGCAGGTGTGCGTGTCATGTGGAGGTGTGTGTGTTTTGATGTGAGTGTGGGTATGTAGGCGTCTGTGGGGGTGTTAGGAGGGGCCCTACTTCATCATCACTACTTCTCCTGGAAGGCATGCGGGCCCAGCTGACCATTGATGGCAATACTCAGCTGTCCTGCCTTCAGGGAGTACCTGAGCTCACTGCAACTAAGGAACCAACACCCCACAGCTTTTCCTTGCACCTTTCCAAATCACACCAGGAAAGGCTTCCTAGTGATAGCATGTGACATGGTCACCTCACTGAGTGGCACCAGGCTTGAGTGCCACCTTCTCCAACTGTGGCTTCTTCCTTCTCTACTTGTACTCTAAGCCAGGTCCTCCCATAGGTCTTGCCCTGGGAGAGCAGAGTGACAGCTGGAAAGCTCTTGGATGCCTCACACCTGCAGACAGAGCCTCCACCCCTGCTCCTTCTCCACCTCCTCTTCCTCTAAGACAACTACCAGCTGAGCCAGGGCCACTCCAGGACGTGGCACCACGCAGACATCATCTGTGTCAGAGGCAAGGCTCTCACTTTTCTGGGGATCCCCTGCTCCTTTGTCCTTCAGGGGAAGGCAGTTTCCCAGAGTGGGTCTTCAGGGCCTGGCAGGGGTGGGGGCCTTCCAGGGAAGACAGCCCCAGAGCCCTGCCTCCCATAGTCCTGCTCCATCCCCAGACTTCCTACAGCCCCTGCTCAGGTGGGCTCAGCGGGCAGAGGCCTGGGACCCACAGAGGGCTATATTGCTGAGGGATCAACCCTGGAAAGGAAGGAAATGGGAGGGGGGTGTCTGTGCGTGTGTGTGTGTGTGTGTGTGTGTGTGTGTGTAGGGGAGAAAGAGAGAGAGAGAGAGAGAGATGAACTCATATAAAAAGAATGCAAGAAGGTGGGAGAGAGCTTGCCAGACATGTAGATAAAGAGGGAGGAGGAGAAGGGCGGCCTTAAATCTGGCCAGGGGAGCATAGCCTTAGTGTGATCCAACGGGTCCTGGGGCACGAGCAGTGGGCTCTTCCTATTCCTCCCCAGCTGAGGGAAGATGGTGAGGCCCTGGCAGACCCCACGGCCCCTACTGGCCATCCTGGTGACTCTGGTGGCCCTCACCTACCAAGCAAGGAAGAAAACCAGCATCAGCATCAGGGAGGTGTCCGCAGAGGAAACGGACTCAAAGAGCACCTTGCAGTTTGTGGTCGATGAGTACAACAAGGAAAGCAACGACGAGTACAACTTTAGGATCCTCCGAGTCCTGAAGATCCTGACGCAGGTTGGTGTGACTTCCTCTCTCTCCCCTCACCATGCGCCCACGTCAGGGGGCCCCACTGCTGCACAGGGGAAGGATCCACTTCAGGCCCATTTGCCCTCAGTCATTTTGGAGCGGACATGTTAAGAGAAACATAAATTCAGTAGCGTGAATTAATGATGCACTTAAATGAAACCCAGGACAGCAAACTACATCACAAGGGCCAGATCTGCAGGCCTGCTGTAAACAGGTCACTGTGGCCCAGCTGCCCGGGCTGTTTTCAGGCTGCAGTGTCTGAACCGAGTAGTTATAACACGGGCCATGTGGCTCACAAAATGGGAAATATTTACTATCCAGGGATATCTAGTTGTTTTTTTTTTTTTCTCTGCCACAAATTGGAAGGATAAGAGTTATCTTGGGCCACACATTAAATATGAAAACACTAACAAAAGCTGATGAACAAAATAAAAGGTCCATGCATGCTTTTGGGATATCTGACACCACAGATAAACAAAACCATCCTTAAAATATCAGCACACCATAGGCTGGAGACCCCATCCCTTCTCAGAAAAAGTTTATAGATCCCCGCCCAGAATCATTGGCATCATTTGTGTTATCCGGGGGGGAGTTCTACCCATGGAAAGATGGTATTTCTGGTGGCTTCTGGTGAATTCTTTTTGAATGACAGAATAAACCATGGACTCAGAAAGGAAGAGGAGAAAAAGTCCACCTTCTGCTGGGGACTAGGCAGAAGCTACAGGGCAGGGAGAAGAGATTAAGCCATCTCTCCTTGCTACTTACTGCCCACAGATAACGGACCACTTGGAGTATCACCTTACTGTGGAAATGTGGCGGACCACTTGCCGGAAGTCAGAGACCATGAACTGTGTCCCCCAGGAAGGGGAGCTTCATAAGGTACTGGGTAAAAGCACTTTATCTTGGAGAATTCACTTTTCCATGGGATTTTTCTGTGATTTTAGGATGAGACAGAGTAGAATTTGGGGGGGGCATATCCAAACTCACTTGGAAAGAATACAATAACACCTCCTTTATCAGGGAGAAGCTGTGAAGGTGGCCCACCATCATATGGCCCCTTCACTGTGGGAAGGACTGTGAGAGGGCTGAGAGGTCCTGAGAGGAGGTGAGCTAGCCAGGCTGCTGGGAGACGCTCTAGGCCAGGTAAGCAGCCAATTATTGACAGTATTTTAGCAGCTGTGGGACTTGCTGGCACACCGGCTAAATATCTGAACATCAGAGTAACAGGGGCGTGTAGCATGCCTTTCACCTAGCAGTGTTTGGCAAGCGGAAGGAGGAAATGGGAAAACAAGATCAGAGATTATCTAGCTGGTGCTGAGGGTGACGTGAGGGGGATTACCTGTGTGTGTGTGATATGCCAGCTACCTTCCCCCCAAAGGCAGCTCTGGCCCCTGAAGTGTCAGCAAACTGAAGTATGCACTGTCAGGGTGAGTCCCACATATGGAGAGACCTTGAAGGTTACAAGTCCTACATGCCCTTCAAATCTCTGGAATTTCCCCAAATGAATTAAAACTACCATGACCGGACAGCTCACCTTGCCTGGAATAGTTTTGATTTATGCCTAACTAAAATTATATTAAGAAGTATAATTATTAACAGAATTCTTTGTTGCTTATAACATGTCCTGGTTTGGTTCATAAATTAAATGGTCACATACTTACCATTGTGGCTGGGGTTTTCTCAGTACAGAAATGTGTCCATCCATGGCCTTCCTCTTTACTTTCTCCATGGATAATTCTTCAAAATCTAGCAAGGTAGATTTCTTTGGTTTTTCCCTGGATAAAATCATGAAATCTACAAAAAGAGTAATTGAAGATTATAGTAAAGTAAAAGTAAATGAATTTTTTTACTTAAGAGATTGAATTGGTGGAGTTGGTATCCTGAATCCCAGTTTAGGGAAATGCAAATACTTAAGCCTCCCACCTACCACCCCAGACTTTCAAATGAAGAGCAGGAAAACAAAATCACACTAAGAAATAATCAATAACACACCAAGCATGTTTAAAGTATTGATTTTTCATTATGGAAGAAGAAGGAAATAGAAAAAGGCAAATTTAGGAGAGAATAAAGAGAAAAAAGAGATACGGCAATGGACAAATGGATAGATAGATAGATGAAGGATGGAGGATAAGAAACAGAGATGGATGGATGGACTGAAAAGAAAGAATAATAGAGGAAAGGATAGATGAATGGATGGACAAATGGATAGCTAGATGCACAGGTGGATGGATGGACAGGTGGACAGGTGGACGGGTGGACTGGTAGAAGGATAGATGAATGGACGAATAGATAGCTAGATGCATAGATGGATGGATGGGTGGGTGGATGCTTGGACAGGTGGGAGGATAGATGGATAAATGAATTAATAGATGAGTGGACAGCTGGGTAAATAAAGGGAAGGATAAATGTTTGGTTTGAAAGATGGATGGATGGATGGATTGATGGAGCCAACAGAGGCCAGGTAATGAAAGGTTTGAACTAAAAAACAAACAAACAAAAAACCCCAAATGAGTAAAAATGAAGAGGGGAAGAAAAGGAATTAGTAGTTCTCATGGTGAATATGGGCAGGATTGCCACTTGATTACTATTCTGAAAATATGGCTACAAACAGAAGGACATTTTATGGAGTGATCCTAGCAGTATTACTACTAAGTGTCTGAAATAAAAATAAATATCAATCGGATTGGAGGGGTGGTGAGGTGGTGTCATTTTTCTCATCCTCATGTCTTTTATCCTTTTCAAATTTCACCTTGTGTATTTTTTAATATTTTAGGAGGTATTTTATTTGTTTTAGCAAATCACATGCAACTTCTCAGTGTTTGCTGCACCCTGGTTTGAAAAGTACAAAATCCGGAGCAAAAACTGCAACAATGGCTAGATGCCTGGAGCACACCTGTGTCTAGAGTCCTGTGATGAGCAGTGGCCTCACAGCACACAATAAATGTCGCCAGCCTTGGCTCTCAGGACCATGAGTCTGCTCTTTTATTTTTTTCCAAATTCTTCAGCTCACGGTAATGTCATCTGAAGGTTGCTAGGCCACAGCAGTTTTGGAGTCCAGATGAAGGGACCTGAATAGTTCCTGCAGCCCTAACCCCAGAGCAGGTAGGAGTCTTCAGATTTTTAAATGGGGAAGATGAGTAGGAGAACAAGGAGGAGGGAAGATGCCCAGAGTACGTGAACAGCCATGAGATATTTGCAAGTAGCATAAGAGGGTTCTAGGGGCCCAGGGCAGGGCAACCCCCCTCCTTGCCAAAAGTGAGAAACAAGAAGAAATAATACAAAGAATTAAGATGAGTCCTTGTCACTGAGAAGAGCTAAGCTGAGAGATGTGCCTTACTCTTGTGGGCAAGTGCACTTTCTAATTCCAAACTCGAGAATTAGACTTCCACCTCCTCGCACCAGCAACATGGGACCAGAACAAGTCTGTCCACCACCATCCTTCTCCTGGAGGAGCAAGGAAAAATATGTGCTCACTGTGGGAAGGAGGACTTGAACAATGCCCAGTTTATCCTTCCCAAATAGACCAGATTAATTCCTCCAGGAGAGGAACAACTGAGGAGAGAAGCCAGGAGTTGTAGAGGCATCTCTTCCAGGCACAGCATGTCAGCAGTAGAGATTAAGTGTCTTAATCTCAATGGCTTGACTCAGGATTTCAGACAATGTGGCCAGGCTCATCTCCTACATGTGGTGATGTCAGGAAGTCCACTGGGTCACATCTGCCCTCACTCACATCCCCTGGGGGGGGGGGTATTATCCCCAAGACCTTAGGCAAAAGCCTGGGGTTGGGTCTGATACCAGTGGCAAATTCTAGGGACCCCACAGAAAGCACACATACACACACACACACAAACGCACACAGCCTTCACGACCTGAGGGAAGAGGGAGATGAAGCATTTATTCAAAAGTTCTAGTCAGTATTGTCTGAGGGTGGCTTTCCCCTAGTATCTCTGGCCTAGGGTGGCTCCAGGACAGAGCAAGTAGCAGAGAGAAGCCACAGGCAAAGGGGCACCAGTGTGGGTATTTGAAAGTGGAGCTGGTGTGAACGGCAAGAGAAGACCTGAGAATATAGTCAGAGCACTGTGGAGACCCTCCCTGCACTGGGAGTCACAAGATGCAGTGTCCACACCGAGTCACCACCAGTTTGAAATAGCTGGGAGCTTTGAACAAACAAATTTTTTTGGTTTTAGTCTCCCTGTCTCAGGCAGGGCTCAGGCGGGATTTCCCTCTGCCACAGGTCTGGGGTAATGCTAACCTACAATTTCCTCATCTTTCACTGAGAATAAAATACCTTCTTGGGGTAGTTCTGAAGATTAATGATGATAATGCATAAAACCTGCTTAACACAGTACCTAACACACAGCAGGTACTCAAACCTTAATAACAAGCAGGAATCCTGGCAGCAGCAGTGATAAAAATATTAGTCAACATTCAACATTCTCTGCTATCTTGGCTATTGTGGCCCTGAGGCCAGGGTTACTGTCCTCTGGGAGAAAGAAAAGAGAAGGTGGAACATTTGTGCCTGTTCATCTCTTGGCTTCAAAATGACAGCATTGTTTATATTCAGAAGTTACAAAGGCAGAACTGAAAAGTCCCCTGCATCCTTCATCCAATTCCCCCTAATGCTTACATCTTACATCATTATAGAAAAATATCAGAGCCAGGAAAGGGGCGCCGCCACCCAAGCGTGCATGCCATTTAGTTACACGTGTACATGCATGTGAGCACCACCACAGTCAAGACTTGGAAGTTGTCCATTCCAGAGGTCTCTGCTGTGCTGCTCTTTAGGCTAATCAGGGCCCAGTCCCACCACAGACACGGCTCCTGCTGACCCTTCATTTGCCAATTATAAAAGTCAGGTGGGTGGAGGGTTGGGGAGAGATCCCCTTTAGTAATTCAAAGCTACACTACAAAGTTTGGTAAAACATTACAAGAAGTGTCAGTGTGAAATTGCATAAAATAAAGACAAGAATTGAACAATTAGAATCTATAAACAAATGACATAAAAAAGTAAGAATGTAGAGTTTGAACAAGATTTTCATGAATAAGTAATATTAGAAAGGCAAATTAAGCAAAACACAAGACATATTAAAAGGTCTTGAGCAAAAATAGCTAAAGGCTGAACACGGGCACATCCTATTACCAAACAAGTTTGCGCTTAGGCACATACCCCCGTAGAGACACTTGCATGTCCGTGCACATCCGTGTCCGTTAGACAGACAGGAGCACACTTACTGTGAATATTATTCTTAAGGCTGAAACTACCCTGAAGTACATTACCAGTACATGGATAAGTAAACTGTGGTATTTACACAGTGGAATTCTACACAAAAATGCAACAGCACCACCAGTATGTTAAATGAAGGAAACTAAGCAGTGATGTTAGAATCTGGACAGGGGTCACCTTTGGAGGCAAGAGATGCCATTTCATAGGGTTGTCAAGAGGACCAATGAGAAAGTGAGCAGGGCAGGCCAGGGCCATGTGCCAAGTCAGTTCTCAGCAGCCTTAGACCTGCAGCCCTGGGTGCTTTCTGCCCGCCTTCAGGAGAGTTACCAACTGTGACTCTTTTGCTTCCTCCTCTCCTCTCTCAGGACTTCCTGGCAGGCTCTCACGTGTGTGCTCATGCCCCTCCCTTGGTGACAGCCTCTCAAGCTGCAGCAGTGCCTGTACAGTCAGGGTGCTCGTGAGGCACCCTCAGACCCTGCCCATGCCCAGGTCGCAGGAGGGGAGAGATCACAGGTCTCATTTCACCAGCAGGAAGAACATGGGAGGCCCAGTGACTCAGCATGCAGGGAGGAATTCACAAGACCAGCATAGGCTGGAGTCTGGGGACTTGTGGGTAGACAGCTCCCTATGCTGATGGAAAACTTTCCCTGTGCAGTAAGAGGGCTCAATGTGGCTCCATCTATGCCAGTCACAGGCTGGTGCTGAACACCTATCCTCTGCCAGGAGTCTGCCATTTTGGCAGGTACCGGGCAGAGCCTGCCTACGTGACCAACCCCCGGTAGAGCCCTGAGCGCTGAGTCCTAACAAGGCTGACGTGTCCTCACAGCTCTCTGTAGGGAATTAGCATGCCCTGTGTGGCAGCACCAGGAGGGGACTCCAGAAGCTCCCCTGATTTTCTCTGCACTTCGCTTGTATATCTTTTGCCTTTGCTGAGTTTCTTTACATCCTTTCACCATAATGAGCCGTGAATGCATCCTGAGCCTTGTGAGTCCTCCTAGTGGAGCGTGGGAACTTCAGACACAGACATGTGTGAGTCACAGTGTTGTGCATGTGGGAAGAAGAAACAGGGCCCCCTGCGCTGGGGCCAGAGGTTAGGGATGTGCCTGAATCCAGAAAAGGTGGACAGAGCTGGGCTGAGGCACAAAGGATGATGAAGTTTCCCCAAAGTTCTTCAACATTCTGTCCAAATAGCACGAGCTCTTAAAGACCACTGAAGGTGTATGTGAATGAGTGAGTGTGTGAGTAGGTGGGTGAGTGTGCAATGGTGTGATAGTGTGTGTGCATATGAATGGGAGCATGTGAGTGTGTGTGCAAGGTGGTGTTGCATGGATGCTGCTGTTGTGTGGCTGTGAAGGTTAAGAGAATGTGTGTGCATTTGTGTGACTATGTGTGTGCCTGTGTGTTTAGCAAGACCCCAATGAGGGAGACAAGTTTCTTTAGAATTGTTTAACAGACAGCACACAGGGCACCCATCGGAGGCTCATCAAGGGTCCCTGCACGAGGGCTCAGTCTTCCCGGCAAGAATTGTTCCAAAGCTCATAGTAGTTTATCCAGGGCACGGTATATATCCAAGACTGACAAATCAAATTCTGCAACGGGAAGAAGAAAGAGAAGAGATAATCAGCTTCTGGTGAAATAGGTATGTGTATATATACATATATATGTATATGTGTATATGTGTATATATACACATATATATATATATTTTTTTTTTGAGACAGTCTCACTATGTGCCCTCAGTAGAGTGCCATGGTGTCACAGCTCACAGTGACCTCAAAGTCTTGGGCTCAAGCAATTCTCTTGCCTCAGCCTCCCAAGTAGTTGGGACTATAAGCACCTGCCTAGCTATTTTTTTGTTGCAGTTGTCATTGTTGTTTAGCTGGCCCAGGCTGGTTTTGAACTGACCAGCCTCAGTGTATATGGCCAGAGCCATAACCACTGTGCTACAGGTGCCGAGCTGCTTCTGGTGAAATATTTTTAAAGGCTGCTGCTTCTCAGGCCTGTTCTGGGAATCTGGGGCCATTGCCATGGCTGCTCACTGACATAGGTGGAGCTGCCCACAGATACACTCAAGGGCTAGGGGAGGGAAGCCAGAAAAAGAAGGACACCCTGGGATCGCCCTGCCCAGCAAGTGCCCCTTGAGCTCTCAGCATAGCAGGGCCCTGGGATGAAGGCCTGGTGAGACAGCAACATCATCCCCTATGCCCCACACCTACACCTAGTCATACAGAGGGACCCTGCATGTGCCAGCTTTCAGGGGGTGCCATCAGGGACCAGGAAAAACAGAAAAGGACAAGGAAAAAATTGGACAATCATCAGAGACCTAGAGAGTGAGAGCCAAGACCAAAACAAGAAGGAGGAAATTCTACTCTCACCTAAAAGGCCCCAGCTGGGCAGGAGAGGCGTCCAGGAGGTGGAGCCTGATCAGGGCTGTGCCAGCACAGGCTGGCAGGACTGTCCAAGTAAAAGGCCTCCCTCCCTCTTCAGGTACCCTGGGAGGTGTCAGGCAGCCCTGGGGCTGGGCCCGAGCTGGCCCCTGCCACACGGACACAAAAATTGCCCATGTCCAGTTAGTGCTTCCCCCAGTGCTCACTCTCCCTGGTCTGGTCAGAAGCCCCACCTCAGATGCACTACCACGTACCTTTTTCAGCTTCTCACTCTGCAGGGGGCAGGAATAATAGATCGTGTCATTCTTCTTGCATTTCGTCCGGCCAATCTTCACGGTGACTATATACTCCACTCCTGTTGTCAGCTGCCGAGAAACAATTGCGCTGTTAGTTGCAGCTCCAAGCATCAGTGGCTGGCCTCTCCTACAGAAGGTGGCACTGAGAGTAAAGTCCCCAGAGCCACAGCCCTTGTTCACTTCCTTGTCCGGCTGGAGGAGACATGATGGCACCCAAGGCCCCTGAGCCCCAGGCTCCCACATCTACTTTTGGGACTGTGTGCAGCAGCTGCAGACAACTTCCCACCTGTCTTCCTCCACCCTAAGGACAGGGAGGCTGTCATTCTGGGTTGCCCAACTCCACAGAGCACTGCCATGCCCCTCATGGTGCAGACACCAGCATCTTATCCTTGCCAGCCCAGGCCCTCAGGTGTCTCCTCCCTCTCTGCCCTCCTTCCTGACTAACCTCCAGGCATACAGTTTAGTAATGCAGCTACAACCTAGGTTTGGAAATCAAATTGATTTGGGGGGTGCATTCCCATTCACTGATGCAGTGGCTATGGGCAAGTTGCTTAGCAGCCTCCATCCCTTTTTTCACTACATAATTATTTTAATAATTAGAAATTAGTACTGTCTTAGCAAAGTAGCAGAAACATTACTTGGAAGCAGCTATAGAGTTAGGAGAGCAACAGACCAGAAACCAGAGAATTACACTGGGAATATGGCTGTATTCATGGGAGACTCTGTACCCTGGGATGAGTCCCTCCCCCTCCTTGAATCTCAGTTTCCTCATCTAGCCCCTTGGCAAAAATGGCAAAAATAATTCTGATTTCCTCCCAGGGCATATGAGAATGAAGGGAACCTGGTGGATACATTAGCCACAGAGGACACATGCCAGGCCTTTCCTGGGGTCATGACCTGTCTTCCTTTGGTCCGGATCAAGTATGAGGCTGTGTACGCTTGGGAGGTGGAAGCCTGGAAATTCTAGCAGGTAGTTATTGGGATTACTGCTCCCTGTCAGGAGCTGAGCTGGACTCCCCCAAATAAACATATGGACTAGAGAATCCACCCTGGTGAAGTGAGAAGCTCCTGGAAGGCCCTGCTGCTTTGCCCAGATGTCAGCAGGGGAGCCACATGAGATGGCTTGGTCCTCTGTGCAGTGGTGACAGAGGCAGGAATGCTCATGCCACTCCTTGGAGGAAGACGCTCTTCGAAAATTTTAGGGTAGGACCGCAGGGAAAACAGGCCTGAGGGCAGTCCTGGGACCCTGACCTTGCTGCCAGCATAAAAACTAACACACTGGTCGCAGATTTAAACTAACATCCCGGTATGCAATGTACTTTCTTATTCATTATTAGACTTGATTGCTAAATTCTAAGAGTCATAGTAACAGCAAGTATTTTACAAATGATACCAGAGGTCAGGGCTACTAAGTACATCCCTCCTGTTCTGTCTCACTTTGCAGGGGAGGAAGCAGAGACCTAGCTGATCTAGATGTCACTGGACCAAGAGCCCAGGCACAGGAAGCCCCCAGCCCTACCTCCTGTACCCCTCTGTGAGGTGTTTGCACAGACACAATTATGTCTGGTCATGGTGGTACCCAGAGACTCCTGCCAAAATCACCCCAGATGACAAGGGGTAGGCTCTCTCTGTCCATTAATCAACATGAATGTTAAGAGTTTGCTTATAAACTATTCTTTAACAGCTAACCATTAATGATAATGGGTTGACTTCACAAGTCAAGCCTCCTTGGAGTGTCAGACTTGCCCCTGGGAAAATGAACCAAGGCAAGTCAGATGAGCCACACTGCTGTCTTGCAGTGAAAGTGTCTTCCTGAGCCCGGAGCCTCGGGACGCCCAGGTTCTGCCAGGTAGCCTGTGTGTCAGACGCTGCCCACGTGCACTCCCCATGTGCCCTCCTCATTTGCCTATTTCCTTTTGTCTGCTTAGGGACCTCTTGCCCTAGCTAACTATTTGTTCCCAAATCCAGCCAGTTGAACCAAGTGTAAGATATGGTATTTTCTCTGCCTTAACATATACATTCAGCCCTTGGAATCTGCAGGTTTCACATTGTGAATCCAACCAATAGTAGATTGAAAACATTCAGGAAAAAAACGGATGGTTGTGTCTGCACTGAGCACATCCAGTCTTCTGATCTTGCCATTATTCCTTATGAACAACTACCCATATAGCATTTATATTGCACCAGGGATGATCTAGGGGATATGTGTCTGTGGATTTGGAATGCAGGGTCCTGGAACCAGTTTCCTCCAGACACAGAAGGATAACTGTATAACTTACTGTCTGAGGGAAGGAGGTTGGATCAATAAAAGTGGCTGTCAAGCAACTTTTCTTTCCTCTGTCATCCTTCAATTGACATATTTCAGAGAAATTTTCTATGTAAAACAAAAGAGGAGGTGATCTGGTTGAAGTCTATACTTCACTCCTTCCAGGACCACCCCATCCAAAACAACAGACCCCCTCTGTGTAATTTTGAGTTTTTATAGAACATGAGAATCCAGTCTTAGGTTTTACAACCATGGACATTGAAACAATATTGTTGGTGGGGGCAACCCACACAGAGTGTTCACATTTTGCTAAATGAGACCTCTAGAGAAAACTAAGTCACTTCTGTGTGCTGTCACTCTGGTAGCCTCAGCATCAGAACGAAAGGCAGTTCTTCCCAGCAAGAGTAGCTGAGAACCTCAACAGACATCTTTCTCTGTGGAAGTATGGGTTAGGAAACTCTGGAACCTGAACAGCTCTAAAATGCACCCATTCCCCATGAATCTGCTCCCCCCTTGGAGTTGCCATTGATTGGTTTTCCGGGGAGCCACATGGAAGCCCCATGTGCTCAGATGTGCAAGAATGGGGGCATCCTGCTCGGAGAAAGCCACAAACCTGCGTCTTGCTGTGAACAAGCTTCTGGACGCGGAATAAGTAGGTGTCGTTGCTGGCGTTGTTGTAGGATTGAATAAAGAAGTCAAGCGTGGGGTCCATGTTCTGCTTACTCATGGGTACCTCCTTGAAGCCCTCCCACCTTTGGAATTTATACAACTTGACCTCCAGGACCAGGGCAACCAGCAGCACCAGGAGGCTTCTCCAGCACCCAACTCCCATCTCTGCAGCCTCAGGAGCCTCCTGCCCCGCTGTGACTTCCAGGCTGGGGTGGCCAGGCAGCTGCTCACTTCTCTTCCACAGAGGCTCTTGTGAACGCAGGCTTTCCAGGGAGACAGCTCACCTACATTTAACAGAGACTGAGACCTGAGCTTTATCCTTCAGAACCCTGACCAAAGGCCAGCCAGGGAAACCCCTCTAGGGGCCGCCCATCCTACTCTTTATTCAGTTTGTTTTCTAGCCGTTCTGACCCCGTTGGATCCTTCAGCGATCCAGGCTAGAGGAATTTCTCACTGGCAAGGTGTGCTAATCTCTCTTCCTCCCTTCACACCTAGCAGGGAGGGAAGGAAGCCCCCAGAACAGCCCCATCAGTGCTCTGCAGTGAGAGCTGGAGTCCTGGACAGAGGGGGTCCATCTGTGGGAAGGAGAAGAAGGTGATATTTGAACTGAAATCTAAGCCTTCTGTAATAAGGAACAAGGGATGGTACACTCTACTTACCTACCTTGGGTTCCAGCTGTCCTACCAGGCCATCGACTGTTCTCTGTGCTTCCTCTAGAGACAGGTTCTCCTTACTCACCTGCTACCCACTCACCACTGCACCCACTTGCTGGATCCACTGCACCTGAAGGCCCTGCACTAGCTTTTGCTATCTTGTTGTGACCCCATGGGAGCTTTGTGAGGTAATCCAGCCTCCCAATGAGGGAGGAGTGAGCTGTGGGCCTTATTCAGCAATTACCCTGCAGACCCCTGAGAGTGAGGTGTCACCTGCTCACAGAAGTCCCCGAGAGTACCCGATATTTAAAACACTTGTAAGGTGAGATCCAGCATGGGGTCCTGCCAGAAAAAATAATATTAATCAGAAAATTAATTAAATGTAAATAAAATCTGTGGAATAGTTAATAATATTATACAGATGTTAACTTCCTAAGTTTTTGGCATTGTATTGGGATGTTAACATTTGAGGGGGTGGGATGGAGGACATATGAGAATGCTTTTTGCTATTTTCACAACCTTTTTGTAGGTCTAAAATTATTTCAAAATAAAGATTAAAATGTCCAAACCCAAATAAATAGTTTGGTTTAAATAAATAAACTAGTCTGTGAGAAGTGGCATGCTATGGCTGTGGAAACCAGCTGTCCTGGGGTAGTGTCCTTTGCTGGGGACTCTGGGACAGTTACTTAGTCTCCCTCAGCCTCATTCTCTTCACCTTCTGCCCCAGGACTGACCATGCTCCATCATGGCAACCTAGGACCAGTCACAACATTCTCCCCTGACCTCAGAGCCTGCCTTACTAGGGCTTGTGGTGGTGGCGACTATGAATCCCTGTAGTCTGAGTTGCAACGTGTCATAAAACATATAAGTAAGTGCGGCAGAGCCGGGATGCTAGGTCGCTGGCCCTGGCCCTTGAAACTGCCAGGACATGGACCACTATACAAGCTTGCTCATGGTATGGTTCCCTATAGCTGTCGGGGAGCCTGTTGTCTCAGTCAGGGACAGCTCCCCATCAGGAGAAGCCAGTTGTCTCAGTCAGGTCAGAGGTGCCAGGGTGCCTCAAAGGTGCAACAGTCAGTCCTTTTTTTTTTGCAGTTTTTGGCCAGGGCTGGGTTTGAACCCGCACCTCCGGCATATGGGGCCAGCACCCTAGTCCTTTGAGCCACAAGCGCCACCCAGCAGTCAGTCTTAGTAGGAGCCTCAACTAACTTCTCCTGTGGCTATTTATACAAGTGATCCCATGGCTATTTACACCACAGGTGTGGAGACTGCCAAGCAATGATGTACATGCTCCTGTGCTCTCGTGCTTTTTAACGAGAGACCACTCCCTTCCCCGTTCCCTTGTTCCCAAGGTGTTTCTTTTCAGGTGTCTCCTACATAAGTGTTCTGAGTAACAAAGCGAGTTTGCTCACACCTGCACAGTCTCAGCCTGCCCTGGAAATCTGGATACACCCATCAGACAGAGGGCCTTAGCAAAGAAAAGTAATGTTTGGGGGTCAGACTAGAAAACCCATGATCGGGGTAAAAGCATAAAAAAATTTTGCTTAATAAATATGGGAGTTGGCTGGGTGTGGTAGCTCATGCCTGAGGCAGGTGGACCATTTGTGCTCAGGTGTTTGAGACTAGCCTGACCAAGAGCAAAACCTCATCTCTACTAAAATAGAAAAAGTAGCTGGGCATTGTGGCGGGCGCCTATAATCCCAGCTACTCAGGAGGCTAAGGCAGGAGGATTTCTTGAACCCAGGAGTCTGAGGTTTCTGTGAGCTCTGACATCATGGCACTCTACCCAGAGTGAAACTCTTTTTCAAAAAAAAAAAAAAAAGATAGAAAGAAATATAGGAATTGATTATATCCTTGAAATGCTCACTGCAGTGGTCACTGCTAATGCCCACTGAAGAAAAGGGTCCATCACAGAACAAGATAAGAAGGGCATGCTAGGCCCTTCCAGCATTCTCTGGCTTGTGGCAGAACTCCCATCTCCACCTTATGTGGCAACAGTGGAGACAGAGAGGAGTTCTGCTGCCACAAGCCAAAGAATGCCACCAGTCTTCTATTTCCTTATACAAACATAGCATAAGGAGGAAACAGGATTCTAGTAAGGTCCACAGTACGTGTGCAAGGGGAAAACCATAGAATAAAGAAGAAATCACTGGCCTGGTTATAGCCATGGGTTAAGGGGAAAATAGGACACAATTTAAGCTCCATAAAATAAGGGGAGGACAAGGGGCCTTTGTGTGTCCATAGAATAAGGGGAACACCTGGGCAAATCCATGTAATACAGTGAAAACAAGAGGCCTAGCTATATCCACGAGGTAAGAGGAAAATATCGAGCCTGATATTGTGCCTCCTCCCAGGCAAGGGAGAGAATATTAAGCTTGATTATTTCCATACAATGAAGAGAAAATATAGTGCCTGGTCATGCCTATGGAACAAGGAGAAAAGAAGGACCTGTTTATTTTATGTCATGATAGGAAAATAGGGCTCTTGATGTGGCCATGACAGGAAACCTGAAGACTGGCCATGTTCAGGGAATGAAATGAACTCAAGGGTCTGGTAATGGCCATGAAATAAAAAGAAATTAAGGGGCTTGGCTATGTCCTTGGAAAAGGGGGACATAAGTCCTGTTCATGTCATAAAAATAGGGCATGATATAGATGCCTCTTTTATCCACAGGATATAGGGAAAGTGGGGCTTGGGTGTGACTGGAAGGACGGGCGCTGTCTGTGCCCATGTAATAAGGTGCTTGCTTGCAGGGGCCCTGGTCTTCCCCATGTGTCATGAGAAAAATCCTAGCTGCATATATGAGTAGGGGGGGATAAGGTACCTGGCTACGTACACACAGGAAGAGGAAAATATTAAGACTGATAATGTCCACAGAATAGGGAAGTATGAGGTCTGAGTGTTTCTGTGGAATAACATGAAACAGAAGCCCTAGAAGACTGGAAATAAGAAGAAAACTGGGGCCCTGACAAGTAAAGAATGACAAAAATAAATAAATAAAAGCTCTGATCATGTCAAGTTATGAAAGAGAAGCAAGATAGCCTTCATGTGCACAGACCAAAGGCAAAAATTGGAGCCTGCTTAAGTCTATGGAATAAAGGTGAAAAGGGGGCTGATTATATCCATTTAACAGGGGGAGACAGAGCTACTGGTCATGTCCATGGACTAGGGTAGAGTAGGGTCTCTAGACAGTCCCATGGAAAGGGGGAAATAGGGAACCTTGTTATGTCCATGAAATAACAGAAATCAAGGCTCTAGATTAATCCATGGCCCTGGTTATGTCTACAAATAAGGGGAAGTTGAGACCTATGTTGCCTGGGTATTGCCAAGGAATAAAAGGAGCCTGAATATTTCCATGGAATAAGGGTAAATTAGAATTGCTGGATATGTTCATGGAAAATTTGGAAAATGGGAGTGGTGTTCTTGTTGGTAAAAGAAGGGTGACATATGAGCCCTGGTTCTATCTTGGAATAACAGGAAATATGAGGCCTGCTATGTCCATGGAATATGGAGGAGCAGGAAGGACTGTGAAGGGGCATGAAGAAGCTTTAGGTGATAGATTCGCTCATTGTGGAGACCCTAGGGGTGACGAGGCCATGGGTGCATGCATACACATGCAAAACTCATCCAACTGTGCATTTTAAATGTGTGCAATTTATTGTACATCAACATACTTCAATAAAACGGTCTGAATAGATGGATTAATGGGATGGATGGGAGGAAGGGTGGGTGGGTGGTTGGACAGGAGGATGCATGGGGGTGTGAAAACAAGGGATGGATGGGTAGATGGATAGGTGGATGTGTGGGTCGGTGGGTGGGTGAAGGTAGCTCCCGCCCACCCTGTGGCCCTTGCACAGCTGATGCCTGGGGCACTGAAGAAGAACAGGGTGGCCTGGGCCTGAGCTCCGCGGGGTGCAAGACTCAGGGCACAGAGGCCTGCCACTCTCACCTGCGCGTGCCCCGCCCCTCATTACTTGTTGCCACCCAGAGGAAGACAAACTGCCTCTGCGAACTGTTTCCTTTTCAAGAGCCTCACAAACCTGGCCTCCTGTCTCCTGAGTTAACTGTGGTAACAGGCCTCTACTAGACCTCTCCCGGTGAGTAGGATAATTTAATCTCCCACCTTACATGCACTCTTTTAATAAAAACTAGGAATTTGGGCAGAATCTTAAGCTGCCTTGAATAAGCAGGCAAACCAGGACCCGCAGAACAGGAAAAACTTTCTGCATGGAACTCTGATTGCACTGGTGTTCACCCAATCAGGTCCGGTTAATAGCCCTCTGTGCAGGGGAACAATTCCAAGGTTATGTGTGTGATGAATCACTTTTTCACCATGTTGTCTCACAGCGGGTGGCTTCCAAGACTGCAAGAAAAACAGAACTGTTAAGCTTAATTTCCTATAACTAAATTAAGTGCTTGTAAGAATAAATCACTCCCTTGCTCCATCTATTGAACTTTATAGAAATAAAGGTTTAGAATGCATGGTTGCTTAAGATATAATGTAGTTGTT